ATTTACTAGCTTGAAAACTAACAACCTTTCTGTTAAATGTTCCCTAGCAGGCAAGCACGTGTTCTTAGCTTGTTAGCAGTGAAAGCTAACAAAGGAAGCTGATAGCTTAGCACCAGAATCAAACACATACCTTTAAAATACCGTTAATAAAAGGGTTAAAATGCATGAGTGCGGACGGCGCAATATGGCCGATTGTTTAAAATCACCCTTTAAATAAAGTTTGTCTTAACTTTAAAAACACACAAACACAGAACACAACCTGAGCACGTGTGCTGCAGATAGCCTGCTAGCACTAAAATAGCTGAGTTTCACACAAACAAAACCAAACTTCATAAAATGAAAAACGTTTAGATCATTTCAATCTAACTCTTTCTCTATTACTCTATGACTGAATGTGTTGAGGAGTTGTCCGGGCGACGACGAAGTTTGAAGAAAGCTCTGTGAACAAAGGGTTAGCTTCAAGCCAACCTCCGGAGCAGTGGCTGGGCGGCCTATTCTGTCTGCTGACCACACTGCACGTTACCACAGGATGAGGCTCCTGTTGTCCTCCTTTCAGACTGGGAAACTGCTCCACTCTGCTTCGTAGAGACCGCGTCTCTGCAGAGAACTCTCTGGAACACCGTTTGCTTTTGTAGGCCTCATAGAGAAAGTAAAGCCAGGCTTGTACTTTAATTCCCGTTCATGAATGAATCTACCGGATACACAGACAGTGATTCATTTGTACTTATCTTAGTGCATATGATCGATGATCGTATGACACTCTCGGATCCAGTTGAAGAGTTATGTCTGTTTGCCAGCAAAGAGACATCAGCGCGTTGTCCCCCCTATCCGGTCCCTCTGGAGGCCGTGTGGAAGCGGCAGGATGTAGCAAGAGCGGTGCTTTTATTTGAACAGTAACGTCACAGGAAGTCCGCAGTTACCCCGTTTCCTGGCTGTGCCAGAAGTAGGTTAATGCAATTTATTTTGAAAGTTCCAGGAAAGTCTGTACTGGCCTTTCATGTTTTTTCCATGGCTGTGGGTTCCAACAAGAAAGAGAAACATAATGTGGATGCACCTCCTAATTATTCAGACAACCTAAAGGGCCAAGTTCACTGTCTAAATATTTGGAACTCATTAAATCTTATCTTGAGGCAAAATTTATTTGATCTATGCTTGTAACAGAGCATCTTAGAGGCTTTTTAAGCTTAGGGAAAATTCCACTCCTTACAAAGATCATTTTAAATTTTCTCTTAAGATTTTTTTGTCGCTTGTCTTGTAGTAGTTTTTTTTCCACCCATTGCTCTTGATTACATCCTAAAAATCTATTGTTGCACAGCTATAAACTGTTAAAACAGTAGCTTTGTATGATTGTGGGTCAACATCCTTTATTTCTGCCAATGAGAGCACCTTTCCTTGCTGACATTAAAATTGCACCGTTACACACTGTAGATATATTGACAACTTTGAAATAGTGGGTTTCTTCCCAAGTGTGGTGAACAAAATCTCATTGAACCTATTCAAAAAGCACATAATCTTAGTGTTTGCTGTCTTGTGATTGGATTTCTGATGCACTTCCCCTCTCCCTGGAACAAAAAGGACAATTAGGACAATCAGCCCTGCCCTGTTTCATCTCGTATTGATTGGACACACAGGAAAATCATTGCGAACAAAAAGAGTGAGGGAAAGCCTGCCAACTAACAGGCAACCTTGGTTATGGGAACAATCTATAGCATATTTAAATTTAAGTGTGTAGTTTTGTGTGTTTTTAACAACAACATTTTTAACAACATATACCACTGGAAACAAGTGTTTAAAATTTCAGATGGACAATCTGATGTGATAATTATTAGGGTGGATGAAATGTACCAGTCAAAACTCTTGTTACTGGTTAGCTTATGAAAATGGACATAGTGAGGTGTGGCATTTGCTGGAATTGAAGCCAACTTGAAGCCTACAGTTGCAAATTCAGTAATAACACAAAGCCATGTTTGCTGCCTACATCTTGGAAATATTCTTTTTTTTTTTTTACTGAAGCCAACACTAGCCTATTGAAAACAATGCAGATTGAATGGCTGTTTTGTATTTTTCTGCTAAGGGCACATTGTGACATTACCACATTGAAGGGAAAGTAGATAGAACCCTGTATTGTTAAAGATAAAGAGTATTGGCGATGGATGGTTCTCCAAGAATGGTAGTGAACCAAAGCATTAAGTCAGGGCAACTAAGGAGTAGATAAAGAGGAATCACATGAAGTCATGGAGTGGTCTATCCCATCTCCATACATCAATTCTACAGACAAAAACCATTAGATTTGAGTTGTAAACATGAGCAAGCCAAAATCCCTCCTCACATATTCTGACCATGGCAGGATATATCATGTTCATATTGATATCATGATTGTTCCTGTAGAAGAGAAAGCCCTACAAATATGTTAATATCCTCCACTATAGAATACAATGAATTCTCACACCAAAGTCACACCTTGGAATTCAAAAGCAAACATTTATGGCACTTTTGTTGTCCTATGATTGTTCCCAAGCCACAGAGCCTGTTTCAGTTCAGTAAACTTCTCAAATTTCAAATTAGTACTCAGTAGTTTGTATGGCACCCACGTGCTTTTATGCATGCTTGACAACGTCAGGGCATTCTCCTTATGAGGTGACAGATGACGTCCTGGAGTATCACCTCCCAGATCCTGACCAGGGCATCACTGAGCTCCTGGACAGTCTGAGGTGCAACCCGCTGGAGTTGGATGGACCTAAACATGATATCCCAGAGATGTTCTACTGGATTTAGGTCAGAGGAGCATGGAGGGCAAGAGCTGGTAGGAACCCAGGACCCACTGTACCAACAAATAGTCTAACAATGGGTCTAAGGATTTCATCCTGATACCTAATGGCAGACTGGGTTGACATTGTTTATGCTGCACAGGTCTGTGCATCCCTTCAATGGTATACCTCCCCACACCAACACTGATCCACCACCAAACCAATCATGCTGAACAATGTTGCAGGCAGCATAATGTTCACTGCAGCTTCTCCACACCCTTTCGCATCTGTCATATGAGCTCAGATTGAACCTGTTCTCACCTGTGAAAAGAACAGGGTGGCAATGCCCTACCTGCCAATTTCTGTATTCACTGGCAAACTCCAGTCAAGTGCCATGGTGCTGGGCAGTGAGCATAGGGCCTACTAGAGAATATCGGGTCCTTAGACCATCCTCATGAAGTCTGTTTCTGATGGGTTTGTCAGAGACATTCATGCCAGGGGCCTGCTGGAAGTCACTTTGTAGAACTCTGGCAGTATTCATTCTGTTCCTCTTTCACAAAGGAGCATATAGGCTACCTGTCCTGATGGGTTAAAGATCTCTAACGGCCCTGTCCAGCTCTCCTAGAGTAACTGCCAGTCTTAAGCAATCTCCTCCATGCTCTTGACTGTGCTGGGGGACACAGCAAATCTTCAGGCAATGGCATGTACTGATATGCCATATTGGTGGAAATCGACTGCCTGTAAAACCTCTGTAGAGTCCAGGTTTCGCCTCATGTTACCAGTAAGGACACTGACCCTGGTTAAATGCATAACTAGCTGTGAAAACAAAATGAGGAAGGAAAAAAAGTACTGTGTGTGTAGGGCTGCACGGTGGTGCAGTTGGTAGCACTGTGTCCTTGCAGCAAGACGGTCCTGGGTTCAACTCCCGGCCAAGGGTCTTCATGCATGGAGTTTGCATGTTCTCCCCTTGCATGTGTGGGTTCTCACCAGGTACTCCGACTTCCTCCCACATTCCAAAAACATGACTGTTAGGTTAATTGGTCTCTATAAATTCCCCATAGGTGTGAATGAGTGTGTGCATGGTTGTTTGTCCTGTATGTCTCTGTGTTGCCCTGCGATGGATTGGCGACCTGTCCAGGGTGCACCCTGCCTCTCGCCTGTAGACTGCTGGAGGTAGGCACCAGTTCCCCCATGACCCACTATCGAATAAGTGGTATAGAAAATGAATGGACAAAAAAATTACTGTGGCCTCCACCTGCAAAACCATTCCTGTTTTTGGGATCATCTCATTGTTGGCTTTTTAGTGCACCTGTTGTTAATTTCCTTAACAACAAAACAGTGACAGTGATTAACAACCCCCTCTACTATTTAACTGACCTGATCAAAGTTCCAGAAGTTTAACTGACTTGATATTATATTTTTTTCATGTTATGAAAAAAAAATGTTCTTAGGTGTCTTATTAAATACAAGCCATATCAAACTATGGTATTCAGTTTTCATATGCATGTAAAAATAAAGGCAAAAAGAAGAGATTTCAATGAATATTTAAGAGAAAGTACACAAAGAGAAAGAACTAGGGATCCACCAATATGAATAATTTGGGCTGACACCGATATACGGTACTAATATTGCTGTTATGGCTGACAATTTACCAAGGAAGTCTGCTCTCCTTCTGTTCCTGGCTGTGCTGGAAGTTGGTTACTGTGATTTATTTTGAAAATTCTAGAAAAGATCAAACTGGCCTTTAAATGTTGTAATCCATGGCTGGACCCAACAGGCCAGAAAGAGCAGTCACCCTCTCACTGTCAGTGGTGGAGGCTGGAATGGTGAGGTCAAGGTCCGCCAAGATGAGCACATTAGAACACTGGTTTTGCAGCATTCGATTTATCTCAGGCCAAGTTGTAGAATGGTACAATCTTTTGACACAATCTGTCTTTTAAAATTGTCCACTGGTCTGGGATGAGAGCTGTTGTCACTTCTGAAGTTGCCTGAAAACATGAATGAATGGGTAGTCAAAACATTGATATGATGCAGTTTAGGTTTTCCTGTTGATGTTTCTGGTGTGCATTGTAAATTTTTTAAACTGTCTTACAATAAGGGTAAAAGGTAACGAAAATCATAACAGCAGCTATAATAATGTTAAAAAGTGATGCAGGCCACGTTATGCTATGTTTCTAAACCACAGAAGATGACACATAAATAATTTAATTAAACCTACGTCTATTTAAGGCTGATTACAGACAAGTCCAAGGTCCAGGAATTGTAGTGTGAATTTTAAAAGGAGGTTATTTTATTTTTCGTATTCAATAACATGTATTATACTAGGATTGCCACAATACAAAAATTTCAAACTCGATATTAATACTAAAAAAAATACTCAATAATTGGTAACATTTTTGAAGGCACATGGTTCTTTCCAGTTAAGAGCAAAAATGTATGATTAATTACAATATGGTGAGATTTTAACTTCCTTAATTAGGGTGAAACCAAGATGTAGGGTCAGTCATGCAATTATTACGTTATAACTGCTTATCTTTACTGTGCCAGTGTGTACTTCCATTAGCCTGTAAATTGCTGTTGATAATAAATACATGTTACTACTGAGGGACAAATAAAGGATTGTTCTATACATAAATAAATCAGGACATTTACCGCAGCCGGTTTCTGCGTAAAGCACGCAGCATCATCAAGGACCACACTCACCCAGCAAAAGGACTTTGTTGGGTGAGTGTGCCTTGCCTCATAGGGAAAGTACCTCTGAACAATGCTTTTGTGTTTGCCTTGTCGGTTAAAGAGGGTTGCGAATGTTTTTTTTTTCTTTGTTTGTTTTCTTGTTTTTTTTTGCATGCACTCGCCATGTTAGCAGAATTTAAAAAACATCTAACAGCATCTCATTGTTTTAGTCAAGTGAGTGGTTGCAGGGAGGGTTGGGGATAAATGTCTGAAATTGAGGCACTGCTGCCAAAGATGTGCCACAATTGGGACAAATGTTAATGGGTCAGTTCAGGGATGGACTGGCATACAGGACTACTAGGTATTTCCCCACATATATAGGCCTATATATTTTTTTTTTATTTAACCCAGTGGTTGAAAGTGGGCCACTGTGTCAGTTAACTCCCGGGCTACTTTTTTTAAGATTTTGTACGTTTTTGTGCACTGCATTGTAGGAGACGAATTATCAATAAGAAATATGAAAACAGAGAGGAAGCAAGCTAATTTTAGCCCAGCACCTAGCAAATATATCCTTGTGCAAAAATCAGCGGACAAGATGTGTATTTGCTGAAGACTCTTCGTAGCCGCATGTGCCAAAAATGTATTGCAGGTCTATGCATGTTATCGGAGATGTGCTGTTAGAACATTACAGCAGTTTTCTGATACCAAGTTAACCATGTGTTGGAACAGAAAGATACTGTCCAGAAGATCCCAGAAAAATCATAATCACAGGGCTGGAATTGCAGTGTGAATTTTATCAGAATCAGAATCAGCTTTGTTGCCAAGTTTGTACACACAAACAAAGAATTTGACTCCGGTATACTTTGCTCTCAGTGAAGAGTTTTTTGTATTTTGTGTATATATATATATATACAGTACAGACCAAAAGTTTGGACACACCTTCCCATTCAAAGAATTTTCTTTATTCTCATGACTATGAATATTGTAGCTTCACACTGAATGCATCAAAACTATGAATTAACACATGTGGAATTATATACTGAACAAAAAAGTGTGAAACAACTGAAAATATGTCTTATATTCTAGGTTCTTCAAAGTAGCCACCT